TTTCTCACATCCTCAATATAATACCTTTTATTTATAACCAACTTTCCCATTACACTGGAGTGTGAGTTATGTGACAGACTTCTATCATTTTGTTCATTCAGCTCTTGGAACACTGGTCAATACATTGCTGTACTGTAATGTATATGTAATATTTATCAGTAAATACTTGTTGGATGAATGAATCTTTTCCTTTGTTCCTTAAAAAAATCCCTTTCAAGCTCTTTCCAGACCTTTTCCCTAAATTGGGAACCCATTTTAGGGAAATGTAACTGACTCAGATGTTTGTACACATTCTGAGGATCTCAATGTTTATAGGTGACAAAATTGTGTGTATTCTCCTATAGGAATGAGTTGGAACATCTTCAGTATAAAGTACTGCAGGAAAGAGAGAACTATCAGCAATCTTCTCAGTCAAGCAAAGCGAAATCAATAGTTCCTTCCTTTAGTATAAATGACAAGTTTACATTAAATAAAGATGATGCCAGCTACAGCCTTATCTTAGAGGTGCAGACCGCAATAGATTATGTTCTAATACAGGTAAGCATAATGTCCAATTTCTTAGTTTGATGATTGCATCTGTTTTGCAAAACAGTCCAATTATTATTATAGACCATTTTTAGTTTTAGACAGCAATTTTAAGTGATAATGGCTTCTTAATCTTTCATTAGATAGTTTGCTCACAGGTTATTTGAATTATATCTTTATTTTTTTTTTATCCTATACTTAGCAATCTAACAAAGATGAATGAACTTCAGTTTCAGAAAGAGATAGAAAGGACAATAAGGATTTTCTTCTTTGGGTATCCTCTGGGAGAATCTTAACAGAGATGAATCCTAGAAAACTCCAGCATTTAATGCCCTTGTTACAACTTTAAAAAAATCTGCAAATACTACGATGATGACCTTATAGTATATTTTACTCAGTAACTGAGTAGTTTCTATGTATGTCAATAGGCAAAGTAGATAATTCCAAAGGGTGAAATCTAGGGATAAAACATGCAACTCCATCTGTTTGTTTGTTTATTTGTTTATTTAAATTGAAAGAGATTCAGGAAGGAGAAAAGAATAATAGTATGAATGGAAAGTAAAAATAAGATGAAGACCCATAAGAAAATGAGAAAATAATAAAATGGAGGAAGAAGACAAGATTTAAAAAGATGTGGTGGAGAGATCAGAATAACCCTTGAAGGTAGAAAACACTCTTCAGTAATGTTAGCTCAAGGCTATTGCATTGAACAACTCTAGGAGGTCCATTCGTATAGAACAGTGCAACTAGTAACTGCTTCTTTAGAGGAGACTACCAACTAACTACCTTCTTTCTGTGTAACAGATGACATTAAAATTGAAAAAGTGAGCTGATATAATCAGAATGGCCCTGTGATTATTTATAGCTCTAGATAATGTCTTAAGCACTGACAAAAATAGGAAGATTACACTTTTACAGGAATGGTAAAAGGTGATTGATATTCTATGCTTTCTGGTAATCAAAATTAGAAAAGGTAGATTTTAAAATAAAACTTATTCCTTATTAAATTTATTTTCTAGAAGTACAGACTATCAAGTATAAATTAGGAGAATTTATACTCTCAAATTAAAAAATGAACATAAATGAGAACTAAGAAAAACCTTTAGAGATAACATATTTTATGAATACTTTAGGTTTTCATCTGAACCCTTTTTTTTTTTCTAATAACTGTAGAGTGATGTTCCAATAGATTTACTTGATGTGGAGAAGAATTCTGCTGTTGTTAGCTTTACCAACTGTGATTCTGAGGTGAGTAGAAAATAAAAAACTTTCTGTCATGTTTTTACTTGCTATTTCAAGTAAAGTCTGAAAATACTATGAGGGCTTGGTGTTTCTTCTTTAGTCATTCCTTTTATAACCTCTCCCACAAAATCTGCTTCTGTTCTCTTTCCCTATCCTCAGGTAATTCAAAACCTGATGTTTCCTAGATTCCCTAGATTCTGCCACTTCTACCTCTGTAACTCTCATCATTCTGCTCAGCTTCCTTCCTCTTCTGTTAACTTAGTTTAGGCCCGCATCATGTCCTGCTGCAACAACTTATTCCATCAGTTTCTCCGCCTGCAGTTACGCTTGTCATCTCCAGATTGCTATATACTGCCACAAGAGAGGTCTTCCTAACACACAAACATCACAGGATCAATTCTCAAATATTCCTATTTCCTAATAGATATCAGGCTAGATTCCTCACTGTGGTATAGGAAACCTTCCATAATTCTGCTCTTAATTACTTCTCCAACTTATTTTTCACTAATTGCTACCTCCCTTCCTGTGTACTTTATCTTTGCCAAACTGAAGTTTTTCAGATTTCTTGAAGATGCTATACAGTGTCATATATACCTGCTGTTCCTCAGAGGTACCACTTTTTTGAGGGCTTGTTGAATGCTTAGCTTTCATTCAGGAGACAGTTATTGTGCATTTACTGTTTGCAAAGCACCTGTAATGAGATCATGCCAGTGCTTTGGAAAATGCTTACCATGTCACTTTATTCTGCTTGGTACTAGCAGAGCTTGGTGTTACCCCTGAAGAGAAGTAGGGAAAAGATAAAGTGCAGATTAGCTGCACTGGAGAAGGCAAACCAGTGCAGCAGAGGAGAGAGACCTTAAGTGGTGGATAGTAGCTCAGTGGTGGAGAGCTTATATAGCATGTGCAAGGTTTGATCCCCAGTGCTACTGAAAATGTAGGGGAGAGGGAGGAATAAA